GGCTTTTAAATAAGTGCAGTGTAATTGGACAAAGGGTTGTGGCTAAACAAAACACAGCAGTTGCTTGGTGATCCAAACAGAGAGTGTGTAATTACTAGTGTGAGTGGCAGTTCCCATTGGCGTGGGTAAAACTGAAATTCTTTGTCATTCATTCACAGGTGTGCCGTTGTTGAATGTTTTATTACTCCCTTCAAACATGTCTTATCCGTGTCGCAGCTGCAAACTGCACCCTCCTGGTTGTAATTAGGCCAAATCATTAATGAACTAATTAGATGGTAAGGCTGGAGTGCTCATGGTTTACATGTCAGAGGCGCTGATAAACCTCATCAGGATGCCAAGTGCAAGTGGAGAGCCCACTGGCTTTTTGCTGTTAATATTAGAAACACTCAGCATTAAAACATGGTCATGCATATGCAATGAATGACCAATACTGGCAGGGTTTTACAACAGATGCCCTTCCGGACAGAGCACATTCAATTGGAGTGATATGTAGTAGGAAATCAAATGGTCTCCTAACGTAAGTAGGCATTCATGGCATACTTAGATGGAGAATATCACAATATATGTCTGTTATTGGTATTGCATGTACTCTTCACTAAACCAGCAGTGAAGATAGGCAGCCTCATTTCCATCAGTCTACCCCTGGGCAGGTGTAGCTGTACAGTGGCTTACGAGGTGTGGAGTGGATGATTAATGAAATGTAAGTAATTTTAAGTGTCCAATAATATACCTTGAATACATTATTGTTATTACATACTCAAACTCAGCCTTTTTATTGTCATTACTTTATGCAAATATAAGACTTCTAATATATAAAATACTCACTCCAGATGACAATAACACTTCTCAATAAGTCCTGGTGAGGGTTCTTTGATGCCAGTGATGTAATGACCAATGACAAACAGCTGTTATAGGTTTCTATTAAACGGTAATATCTTTCAAACAGTCCAAAACTTCTCCATTTGTTCAACATCTGTCCAACAGCTAATTTTTTCAATATTACAGAACTCCGGTCACCCCGAGGAACATCAACAATGCCTCACAAATACACCATCCTGCACATTATGGGACTCTTTCTCTTATCCTGGTCCAGATGTAGACTTTGTTTGTTCTTTTCCTGGTTTAGTCCAGGTAGATCCAGGTTCAGTCCCAATTTAGCAAAAATTTTGATGTGGTGGATTTGTAACATTGTGGGGACTAAAATCTGTATACACAATTACATCATGTCTTCCTAATGGGGGCAAAAATCCTGAAACTGCGAAAATACAGATGGGACATGATGAGAGCAAAGATAACATTGCCTAGAAAAATCTTGTTTAATGGCCATTATAATCTTTAAAAAAAACAGTTTACAATGCAAGCTTGTAACCTACACATGTTTTGTTGTCAATTATTTTTTTCAGTTTTGTCACTTGCCAATGTTTACAAATAAGAGTGATGATTTCTGATTTGTACAGTTGTGTTTGCGAGACAGCTCTTGTCTACTTATCCCTTCATGGAGGGGATTAATGTCCTGGAGACGTTTCTGTCCAACATAAGTGACACATTGCTTTTGGATGTGCACAGGAGAGGCACTGCTTTGAAGTGAGTCCAGCTTTTATCCCGCTCTGTTTACATTCACTGCAGTGTTAAGAGAAGTTGGGCTGAAGTTGAAGGATGTAATACCTATAGCAACAAGGCCTTCACAATCACAGGGTTTTCTTTTTCCAACCGAAGACTTTATGCAAATATAAGCACTCCATAGCAGCAGATGTCAGCAGATGTTCTGTCCCAGTCTTTACACAATAGTTGTGTATGGATGGTGTGTGGGCTGAGTACAACTTGTGCGTTCTTGACCATATGGAAACAGGCCTTGCATCAAAAGTAGGCTAATAAGAGTGGGGGCTTGACTGACGCACAAAAGACAAGCTAAGACATAATACAGATTTTTATAAAGCCAGTTTTCTCCCAATGTAAACAGTTTCTAAAATAAAACAAAAGTCCAAACTGCTCATTGTTTATTTATTACTTTGAGCTGGTTGTCACACTTTTACACACATCAGATCAGACACAACCCTGTAAGAACCCACACATTTAGATGGTTGTTTGTTGAGCAATTCAGATCAATGTAAAAATTTGACAACCAAACCTATCTACTGTGTACTTAAGATTCAAGTAAGTGTAAGTCCACACCCTGGCTGGCTGTCTTGACTTGTGAAATGCTCTATAGCTTAGTGACTTTTTGTCTGAAGCCTGATTCTATCATAAGAATCAAACACTTCTATGACAACTGTGGTATTTGGACACCTGCTATTGTACTTCTACCCATTAACACTTCAGCTTTTATTGGCAGGTGCTGCAAGTTTCTGTTGACTCAAGGTGTGATGCAAAAGATCAGCTATTTAGATTTTTGCCAAGTTTTTTTAATTGCCACCTTTGTAATTAGATTTGCATAATTTACAACTCCCAGCACGCCCTAGCTGTACAACTGTGGTAAAAATAACTGTTGTTATTTTGTCAGCCCTTGTTTGAATATCATTTAATCCCTTAATTCTAACTTAGGTATGTTGATTTCACATGTTCAGCCTTTGCCAGGAAAGTGCCATAGAAAGTCATTGTGCGGTAATTGTATTTGCACTGAAGCTTCAATGGACCTTGCCTTTTGTCCAGTGTTATAAGGTCCATTTGGTTGGAGCAGAGCACTTGGGGAAGATGGGCAGGTGTATAGCAGTGCTCTAATAGACCATCTGTGGAGACCGTGCAGAGGTGAATTAAGAGTCCACTCTGCTGTTGTCGCATCCATTAGACAAGCTCACTGCCACAAGCGACCCTCCACTCTTCACTGGTAATGTCCCTACACCGGCCACTGTGTCATATGTGCTGCTGACTTAGTGTGTTTGTTGTCCACTAGGCTTTTTAGGTTCTATTGAAATGCAGCACTCTCCTCAAGGATTTTAATGTGACCCTGATGGCCAAATAAAAGGGCCCACGCTGTCTCTTCGTCCCTCATTTTTGTCACATAGTATCGCTCAAAAAGGCATGTGGCGCTTTTATCCAGCCTTCTCAAGACTGACTTCATAAGAGCAGCTTTTCAAGTTTAAACATCAGTTTGGGAAGCACATTTATCATTTTTTTCTGTTTATTTTGTTATTAGCCAAGTGAACAAGGGCTACAATAAGAAATGAGAAATGACTGAAATAAATAAATTAATTAATTGCTGAAATGTTTCAAATAATATAAAATAATAATATAAAAAAATTAGATTTTTGGCTCTTTTATGGGATCCAGATCTTTTGAATCAGTCAATAGCTGTTCAAAAGACTGACTTGTTTACTCTATTTTTGTGACAGAAGTCTACATGAGAATTAATTTTAACAACAAACTAATCACAGAGAAAAATGGCCAAAGCTCAAATTTGTGTAGAGAATGTAAGTGTGTTTGCTCATTGACATTATGCTTAATCTAAATAAAATGGCAAACTGTAGTAATAATTTAAACTGTTATTATGATGTCAGATAGTTTTTTTGTGCACAAAGCTCTCACTTGTGTTGCCTACTCTATTTCTATGCTGATCTTTGTGTTAGTTCAGGGTTAATCAGTATAAAAATGCATAAAAACTTGAAAGAAAATGAAAAAAAATTAGATTCCAAACGTTCACACTGAGGAACTGTTCAAAAGAACCGACTTGAAAGTCATATTAGTAATTGCTGATTTCAGATAACATCACAAGATTATAATTGCCAATCATTTCTGAATCTGAAAACCATCTATTGATACTTTGCAGCTGATGTCATCAACGGTCCCTGGGGGTGTGAAACTGAAAGCATTACTGTTTGTAGCTCTGTTACTCAAATTAGACTTTAATTTGAGCTTTGTTTTCACACAATTGTACTAAAAAGAACTGATTTTATTAAAACTACAACAGGTGAGATGTTTGATATTCCATTTTGTATTTTTTTTCTTGAGTTTTCAGATAATCTTAAAACTTACATAACAGTGTTTGCTAATGTGTGCATTGTGTCACCATGGTAACATTCCACTATTAGCGATTCATGTAGTACACCTCCAGTATAACGTCACTGCAAGGTAGGCTATCGATAAATAATACTTATTTACAGTAATTATTACAGTTTGACGCTAATAGTGAGAATAATATGCAATATTACAGCCTATCATTATAATTTGCACGAGGGTGTGTGCCAGTGGTGGAAGAAGTTCTCAGTATTGTAAAGTAGATATAGGGACAAGAGCACTAAAAGAAAAAAGTATCACATAAAAGATTAAAAAATATATATTGTTCTGTCCTCAAATGTACGTTTAAACATGTAGTATTAGTAATAAGTAATTAGGAGTAGGTCTAATAAATGACAAATACTTGCTCCCAATTGTAGCAAAGTAAAATAAAAAGTATCTACTGTAAAATTTACTTCAGTTAAGACACTTACAGATAGTTACAGATACTTCTGCCCTGTTCTTGTTCTGTTTAAGTTCTGGGTTTGAAGTGGTGTGAGTACGTGCAAGTGTGAACGTAGCCTAAATGTAGCTATCTTTATACTCCAGCACAGACACAGCCAAACGTGTGGTAATGCCCTGAGGTATGGTAATCCCTGTGTTCATATCAACAAGTTGAATTTCCTCATCACCTGTTGGTTTTCTGAGGTGAACCATTCTATCTGGACAATCTGGAAGAACAGGAAGAGCTGCATCTAGTCTGAAGCTACTCATTTATAGATAATTAATTGTTTTCTTTTTCACTCAATGAATTAGGCAATAGCTTTGCTCACACTACAATAGATCATTATTTCATCTTGATGGTGTATTCATAAAGACAGGAATCATGTCCAGATAAATCCAATATAATCTCTAAGTAATGTGGGCGGTAAACTAGTCATTCACACATTCTGTGAACAAACTAATAAAAAGTTTGATTCTGCCTATGCTCTTCTTTTATAATCTACAGCATTTTTGAACCATAGATTTAGCTTTAACCTTTCAAATAACAGACACAAGAGCAAGTCATGTCCACTTGTTTAAATAATTTACTAAAAAGAGTGTAAAAGTCATAGGCCTCTCCAACTAGAGGGCTCTGCTTAATATTCAAAGTAATGACAAATGTAACAAATATTTTTTGCAAACCTGCCATTGTCTGTACATTACATGAACACTGCACTTGGCAAATTACCACATGGTTGTATTAAAATAAAATTGCTTGATGTATAAAAATACAACAAAAATAAATTCAACATATAATATAAGAAAGTGAACCAGCATGAAATGTACAGCTTTGAGGAATGCCATGACCTCAGCAATGGAGTGTATCTACAAACATGCAGGAGTCAGTCTATAGAGAGATTTGACATCATTCAAGAGCCAATGAAATAAAGCCATTTTACAAAGGTGAAATACCATTGTTGTGTATTGCCTACTTCAAGTGGTAGAGTATTACACTATAAATATACACTTTACTGTATTCCTCTGATTGTGAGTTTTAGTTATTGTTTTTTTACTTTCAAGTGACATTTTCAATGTCTGCATCAAAAATATAACTATTATCAATTTCCACTGGCAATCTGTTCTTACTGCGACATGTGTAAAAGATGGCTATGCCCAACACTCAAATCAGTGCCAGCATGGAAGAGGTAATAAACATATAGTTAAGTTTATATACATATAAATCAAATTCTATGACATCATACATACTGTAAAAATATGGCATTTTTACAATTTCATCTAAATGACAAATTTCATTTCAGATTATTTTTGCATTAATTGACAAGGCCTTAATTTGCTGGATTTAAATATTAAAAATAAGTCTCAGCTGCAAATATATGTTTGTAAATATATTTTGTACAATATAAACACATCTGACAGAACTAGTCAGATATTCCCATTGTGTTTTTCACACTTTGGGGGCAAAAGAAAAAGTGCCATTATGAAACACTCCTTTTTGGAGTGAATATGAATAAGTTAAAGTCCCTTTCAGAGTAAAGGTAGGGTTTCATTTATACCAAGTCCAGGAGGATCAACAGTGCATATATGTACAAAACGTAAAAAGAAGTTGATACAAAGCTGTGTTTTGATGCTCTTTGCTGGTTGTACAAAAGGAGCGTAAACATGTCCAGAGGATTTGGAGAAGTCCTTGCTGAACATCTACAGTTTACTGGAACACAGTATGAAATAAAGTTACAGAGCACTGTTGTTTTCATACAGCCGTGGGATGGCATCAAATGGGCATAGATGGTAAACTTTTTTCAGTCTAGCAGTCTGTGTTGATGAGAGAACCATAATACTCCATTTTCATGCCTCAGATAACCAGGGCTGCTGTTTAGAGCACTTCATTCATCTCCTTAATTACATTCCAGGGCAGGGTGAGTTCATCTTTCCATATCTTCCTTTGATTTAACGATCAACAAAAGTGCTCTGGTGCCCTCTGGTGCCCAATAAGGGGGAGGACAAGCCCAGGCTAGAGCAAAGATGTTTCCAGCAGTTCAGTGATCCTGTCCTCTGTACCTCACTGCTATAGCATGTTTAAAATGGCATTGTACATCTGGATAAGTACTGCTAAGTGGACCGGCAAGCAGGACTGGCGATCTTGAGTGGCTGGAGTGCATGTGAGCCAAGAGAGAGCATTGTACTGTTCCAAAACAAACCTAGGTTGAGAAAAGAAGCATGTTACTTAAAGCCACAAGTTTACAGACTAACTTATTTTCTACAGTTACATTTCAGTGCAGAATGTATTACCTCAGGGCATATACATCATGTGAAAAAAGATCAAGATAATTATCAGGTTTATTGCATGCTTGAGCAGGCTGTGTAACATGATGCGTACCTGAGCACATCAGAGGTGGTCTTTGAGTCGAGGGGGTGAGGGCTCCTCTTGGTCTTGTCTGATATCAGCTCATCTGTCTGAGCTATGGAGATGTGGTGATGAAGGGAGGCCTGGAAGTCATATGCATTTGGTCATCATCAAGAACACACATTTTACCACATGGTTCACAAAGACAATTTCATTTTAGTTAGCATAGTTCCAATAATACTAAATTATTATTAATAGTAATTCATGTTTGTACTTAGTACCTTGAGGAAGAGAGGGCATTGGTTCTCTGCCTGTGGACAGGATGCCCAGAACCAGTGAGGCAGTCCATTTGCTTGAGCCGTAGACACATAGTAGCCAAGAGCCAGGGGCTGCTGCTTCAACTCCTCTGGTGGACTGTCCCGGGACATTAACCGCTCACTCTGGGTCTAATTAAAGACAGAATACTAGACCATGATCATATTTCTATGACAATATTTTATATGCCTTGACTTTATGCCTAAATCATATCCTGCTGTTGCACTTTGGTGTCTTTCCACAGTGTCAGTGACAATGCTGAATGAGAAGCACAGACTGATATGTCTGTACATTTGTCTGTCAGACAAATTCCTGTGCATTTGTTATGTGTGGTACAAAAACATAACTGAGACTCCCCTTTGACAATCAGAAATATCAGCCAGAAATGTTCAGTTTGACTATGACTTAGACTGACATCTGATAATTGTATTGCCTGTGTAGAATGAAGTGCTCTAGCACCCAAAGCACTTTACAATATTATTCATTCTCTCCATACTGGTGGTAAGCTGTATCCACAGCTGCTTTAGATAAACATCTGTTTTTGGCTCTAACTGCTCTGTTTGCCTTAATGTATCTGATACAGTGCGGCTCACCCTGTTGTGCTGGAAATGTGATCCCATTCCCATCCCTGATGGAGAGCCTGGCGAGGGCACTGGGGAGGTGTTGGGGGAAGGGTGCAGGTTTCCTGTGATCAGCATCATGTCATGGCCAATGTCATTCTCCAGTTCATCAGGAAAAGGTAGATCAAACATGTCATCTGGAGAGTAGAGAAGACAACATTAAAGGCTTGGGTTTGCTGCCACAGGCCAAGTACTCGTTTGAGATGAAGTAGAGCCTCTTCAGTAAACTGGGGGCAGTGGCTAAAATAATGCACTGCAGCTCAATTTATTTCCTGAGGGTTTTGTAAATGTGTATGGGTTTTTTTATACAGCATTGCCATCTGTTGATGGGAATACACAATTGTAACATAATGATTACATTAAAAGTAAAATAAAATCTATGATATAATAACCAGAAGATTTTAAAATGTATTAAATCATTGTTCTGAAATTTAAAAAGATGTGTTCATACATAAGGAAAAAACATTACCTGTAGACTTGGCTAAAATGTGTATGTTTATGAGCATTTTTAACAATCTTCTTGCCATGACACTATGACATTGATGGTGTGCTTACCGTTATTGTCCTCAGTGGGGTAGGAGCTGGGAGCCAACTGAGTGGTGGCAGATGTTGGGAAGACTAGGATGTGCGTGCAAGAAGCATCCTGAGGAGTGTTGAGCTGAGAGGTCTGCAGGTTCAGAGCAGTGCTGCGACCAAATACGGACCCCATTGTAACAGCATCTAAAACAGACAAAGATGTACATGTTAATATTCCTACATTTTATTTTTTACATAGATAACACCAGTAGAGATGTACTGCAGCTACTAACCAGGCATGATGACAAAGGATCCCTGAGGCTCCATGGCCACCAGGCAGGCGCTAAGTATAGAGGGTGAGTCAGCCGCAGACATACCACACATCCGACAGGACTCTCTCAGCTTTCTGCTTATTGACAGGAGAGAATGCTCCCCAAGTAGAGAGCTCCAGTCTGTTTAAAGGAAAAAGGACATAATCATTATTAATACACACACAATACAAAGAGATGAATGAAAATGAAAATAAAATTTTGTCCTGATCTGGTTCTTTTGTAAACCTGAATAGCACAAATTTTTACCATAACTTCAAAAACATATACCTTTTAGTTCTCCATGTCCTAGACGGCCTAGTCGACCAATAACAATTCTCCATGGCAACGACGTCATCTGAATAACACCAATACACCACTCCCAGAGCTTTTGTAGCCCCATTTTTCTAGCTGAGAATTTTGGTCGGCGTGCTCTGAAACAGAATAAACATATCTGATTAATAAACTCATCCTCACTGTATAACCAGTAAGATGTACTGTTACTAGTACCTGTTTGGTACATCAATGTTGATAATACAAGTCTCCAACAGCTCCCCCTGCTGGTCAGTACAAGACACAAGGATCCATCGCTGGTCATGTGACAGGCAGTACCCAACAAAGAGCACATTAAATTTGGGTGGAAGCTCTGCCCAAATCTCCCCAGGTTCTGCTTGCTTAGGCCGAGTGGGACCAAGAATGAATGGAGGAGAATACAGCTCCAAAGGGCTTGGATGCTACAAGATACATTTGTTATTAATTGATGATAAAACAAAGAAACACTTTTTTCTTAAAGTGTGTGACCCACCTCTGGATTCTTAAGCACTGAGTTGGCAGAGGATGCTGGTCCAAAACCAGTGAGTGACTTAATGAGTGTTTGTTGGGGAAACATTCGTTTACACTGAGAGTAACATGAAAAGGCCAGGGATCTGAGCTGCTGCAGGTATAAGTGACTCTCACCACTTGCTGGTTGCAGAAGATGCTGACATGGGACCACCTGCAGTAACAATGCTGGTCTTATTGTGTCAGATAAGGTCTGAAGCATCTCGGAGTAGCACCGTAAAAGCCCCAGCAGCCAGATGCTGCCTGTCTCAACCTCTTCACCCTCGTCTTCCTCTCCTCCATCACATTTGGCTCCATTTGAAGTGAAAAATGGATTGATGATATAAACTGCAATAGCTGGTGGGTTTATGTGACTATCAGCTGACTCTGGCACAGTGGGGATTCCAATTCTGGATTGCTCAGATGTTCTGCAAAGGTAAAGACAATTTATGGTATGTTTTGTGTGTATGTCACAGAAAACATTCAGTTTTGGTTAGAATTCATTGCACGCTTACAGTTCTGGGGTTTCTGTTGATGGGTTGGGCTGTGTAACATTTGAAGCTCCCTTAAAATCACTCGATGTTCCTTGACTTGTTTCTATAGATTGACCTGAGATGGATCCAGTTGGTGTAGGAGCATTGCCAGAGCCAGCAGTCCCTGAACTCTGCTCGTTCTCAGCAGACCAATTTTTGGCCTCGTCTGAGGACTGATTTGAAGATGTATTCTGTACTGGAGGTTGCATTTTAGGTGGAAGAAGAAGATTTCCATCTAAAGAAAGTGCTGACAGCTGTGGACCTGAAAATTAAAAGCATAAAAGTTGGCATGTAGATATCTGCTTCACATGCAAGATTATATTATAATTATTTGTTCTTACCTAATATCTGTTTACATGCATAAGCATACAGTTTCAGTTTACTGATGTTGTCTGCATGCTGCTGCCCAGTCCATGGGCCTGCCAGCCACTGGCCCACTGCCAGGTCCTCCAGCGTGTCGCTTTTGATATCTTCACCCACTTGCACAATCCCATCTTTGGATACTTTGGCCAGAGGACGGTGCTTCCCAAGCCGGCATGTCTATGAAACAGTGAGATCATTTGTAAAAATGGTGTTCTTCATATTAATGCAGTACTGTATTTTCAATACAAACCTCATAGACAGTACTGAGTTCTTGGAAGAATGTGCGAGCAGCAGACAGCAGAGGGGGGCTATTGGGACACAGAACCACAAAAGCTACATCTCTTTGTCCTCCGTATGGTTCCAACAGTAACTTCTCCCAGAATGGTAAAGCTAGAGGTGACAGTGCCAAAAAGTCCCGCTCTCGATCATAGCCCAGTAATAATGTTGGTATAGGAAGGGGCTCTGGAGATTCTTCAGAACCTGATTGACAAAAATACAAAGCTAATGTGAAAATGTAAAATATATTATGCAAGTGTGTGAATGTGGTCACAAAGTCTGAAAGATTTTACCAACAAAACATTGTACAGACTCACCATAGGATCCTCTGCCTGCCATTTTATGAAACTGTTGCCAGGTCAGGGGGCCCTGAACGTGCTGTATGTTGTCCCATGTCCGCCCTGTCCTTTTCTTCTGGATAGCGTCTTGTAGAAAAGGCTGGAGGGAAAGGAGCATTCGCACCATATCCTGGGATGATAATAAGCTCATCTCCACAACTAAAAAAATAACAAAACACACACCTTTATTACCAACGACAAAAAAACAAAACAAAAAACAACCAAACAAAAAAAAACCTTTAAACCACACAATAAGTGATCACATGAAATTATGTTTTTGAATATCTCACCATTTGTGTGAGGCCAGGGGTGCAGCGCTGTACTCCTAATTACAGCCTGGTCCAATTTACTTCCTGCTGGATTGTCAACATACTGCAGTCCCTGCTCCAAAGCACTGTTACACTCTGCACATGCATCACTCTCATCTGCCCACTGCTTCTCTGACATCCAGCTTTGGAGCAGCGCACCTTTGCGGCCATGGCATAAGCAGTTCAATGGCATTTGCAGTGAAGCGAGAGAAGAAATGGGCTGTGAACATTGCTCTTGAAGAAGTGTCATAACTGCAGGAGAGGCAGGAGATGCATCTTGCCCCTGTTTAGACCCAGGGTCACCCAACAATGGATCCCTTCGACACAGAGCTAGCCTCCTCTCTGCAGCTCGTCCCACCTCAGATGTTCGGCCAAAGATATCCAGCTCATCCTCCAGAAAGAGTCCTGATCCTTGTGCGAGCCGCCTGTTCACGATGGCGCTGAAACCACACATACAGCGATACTGGTCCTCACACGTGGAGTCTGGGATGTACACTCCGACATCTGCGCCTTTTACATTTAGGTTGCAGGCGCAGATACAACAGCTGTCAAAGTTACGGTCCTTGAAGACATTGAGAACTGAGTCAGAGAGCAAAAGGATGAAGTACAGACTGTGGGCCTCAGGTAGGGCTGGTCCGATCCTGGCTAGAGGCTCCACAGAGCTCAGAGGTATGCTGGTAGAGGGGGTGGATATAGGAGAACTCAGCTCTGTGCCGTCCTGCTTCACAGAGCCCTGTCCTGAGCTGGCGGTGGTGATGCCCCGGGGCGTACGAGGGGTGCGAGGGGTTGGAACAGAGAAGCGAGGCGTAGCAGGAGAGGGGAGGATGCCAACCGTGGTGCCCACAGAGGCAGTGGTGACACTCATCTGATTGTACTCCTGGTCTGTTAGGGTGTTCACACTTGGAACATTACTAGAAAGCAGATAAACAAGTGTTACTATAATTTAATGTAATTAATTATCCAGTGCATATACTATAAAAACATTTACTTGTATCCATCTTTGAGGTATGTGGTCACCGGAGTAAGCATTACTGGAGTGTAATGCTCCATTTTGGGCATGAGCATCCAGGACGGCCTGTAGTAACACTGCTCTGGAAGTTTTATTAGAGGAAGAGTCTGACTTGGGAGACAAGACAGCGGAGCAAACATAGAGCAGCTGAAGATGGGCTGTGTAGACAAGACAAATAAAAGGAATGTAAGATTTTGAAAATGTTAAGTATGTATATTCTCTGGGAGCTGAACCTAATAATAAAACAACATATTGGTTGCCATGCAATACTTTATATTTAATTCTTAATTGAATTATTTCACATTCATTCATCTCATACATACATTATATTTAGTAATTAATGTACATCTTAGGCTGCTGCCCCCGCGACCCGGCCCCGGATAAGCGGACGAAAATGGATGGATGGATGGATGTACATCTTAAAATCCAGCAAATGTGCTTATAATTATTTTTTTTCTAATTCAACTAATTTAATACCAATTGCTGATTGTGAACCTCTTTGAATGCAATTGACTGATTTCTAATCACTGGATCTTGGAAGGTATAAGAACATAAGTGAAATTGCATTCATTTATACCTTGATGTCTTCATGCCTTGGACTCATCATCCTCTCACTGGTGTCTGTGCGGTGTTCAGAGATCTGTGGAGTTGGCACTAAGGGGAGATGTTCTCCAGGTCCACTCTGAGCAGGGGGCTCCTGACTCGGAGTGTCCCTGTATGTCATAATAGGTGAAAATGCTGGGTGCTGCTCTAGTGAGGGTGGAGTAGGGAACATTCGCTGGAGGTCTGCTACTGCTGAATGAATGCAAACAATAAAACAAAAAACAAATGCATCAATCCTTCCACAAAGTATGAAGAAATACTGTACATTTTTGTTGAGTTTTTGTCTGTAAAACAAAGGAAAGTGACTGACTTGATGGATAGGGGACTGCAACTCTGCCTTCTTTCGCTAGAGGGCGGTCTTCTGTTGAAAGTGGGAGCTTGGTGGAATGCTGGTTAGGGTAAACGCCCTATTTTTGTATATAAATAAGCAGCCACATAAAATTAAGAATAAATTAGAACACAAAAAATGTATATCAAAATAATCTTGTGTTTATTTATTTATTTTTTACCCCAAGTTCTTCATCATCCTCATCAAATATGTTGTCTAAATCTGATATGTTGACAGCCAGATCTTCCTTTCTAGTCAGAGAAGGATTTGATTTTGCTGCTGCGTCATCCTGCCCTGATTCTTCTAAATAAATAAAACAGAAATTAGACCTCTACCTTATAGTATAGGTAAATGTAAAACATCCTTGGATTTGTCTCACCTGTCTCAACCTGAGCTGAGCTGAATATGGACATAGCATCCTTTCCTTCAGAAAGTGAATCTCCGTTGGTTAGTTCTTCCCCCTGTTGAATATAAAAAAACTCGTTAAAATTAGTAGAGCATTCCACCACAAATCTGTCAATCACTGCACCCACTATTGTTATTACGTTGGTAATAAACTCAATTCACAGCATGTACCTGATTTTGAAGCATGAGTCACAAACATGTTTCAGTTAGAACTGTTAACCCTGCCCATTAAGTCATTTCTGTCCCTCTGATATTGCACTATGACCCAAAAACAAATTGTGCCATGACAGTATCTTAATTGTTTAGGGTATTGTTTTTTGTGTTTTTTTTCCCCATTGATTCCATCATGCAAATAATGTGTCTGATTGGACTGTCAGCAGCTTTTCTATTATTTATTATCCAAATAAAGGCTTTGCAACATGCATAGGTGATGTCTTTCAGTTACATGTTTTACTCAATTATGTGCATGCACCGCATAATGTCAATGACATTTATCTTAACTAGAATTAATTCAAATCAAATATAGATAAACGACATCATGTCCTACCTTGGCCCTCTTACTGGGCTCTCGTCCTTGACCTTTTACTCTTTTGGAGGAGGAGAAAGTGTACTCAATGTCGCCTTCTTTAAAGTCATAGGGATCATCTCCCGGCTCCCGCAGTGCCTCCACACCTGTCACCTCGTACAGGCCTAAAGCCTGGATGTGTTCTTTCACTCTCTCTTCTGAGATCTTAAAACTTTGGCAAGTCTGAGTATAAAGTCTGAAACAATGAGACAGTGGGTATAGTCAGTACAATATTAAATGTATTCCAAACACACTTGACATTGAGCTTTGTTCTTTAGGATACTGCACTAATTTAGTTTAATAAAATACTTTGCACATTAACATTGCACACAGATGTACATTATACCATCATATATTGTCATACCTTTTTAATGGAGTTGTCTCAGTTACCATCTCTGACTGCATATCCTCCAGTATGTCAGGGGGAAGGTCTGGAGGTTTGAAATCAGTTTTATCCATCTTGGGAGTCCTGAATCCCCTCCACCAGTCAGCCCCGCTCTCCCTCTGTCTCAGCAAAGCGCTGTATGCTGCTGTCTCACTGGTGATCATCCCCATAGCCCCATCTGAACAAACACCAATATCCACCGGCCCGTCCAGTAAGTCCGGCTCCAGCACCCTTGGGTGAGGGCTTAGTGTTGGCGGAAGAGGAGAGACAGGAGAGTGAAGTAGGGATTCTGGGACTTTCCTGTTATTGGACAGTGGTTTGGAATACTTGCAGGTTGGAAGAGGGGCTAAAGGCTCTAAAGGGGGCTCCAGAGGTACTAAACTCCCTAAAGAAGGAGTTGTGGAGGAGTCCTGCTCTGTAGATCCCTCCTGTGCAGCAGACACGCGCAGGTGAAATGGGATCATGGCTGCCCTCTTAGACTGCTTATCAGCCTTCTCTGACTTGTCACTTGTCTTGTGTTTGGGAGTAGAGGGAGTATACAGGCCAGATGACTGAGCAGGGTTGCACGTGTGGTTGTTGGCAGTGGATGTGCTGGTGACATTGGACTTTAGGGGCTTGATCCTACAGGAAAGAAAAAATGATAAGCATGTGAGAGAAATTTGTAACATAACATTAACATAATATATTTATGATAATACATAATCATATATTGTTTAAGGAAATACGGATAATGAAGAAGTACAAATGGATGAAATTTGGGTTCATTTGGCTAAGTTGGCTTTTGTGTGATACCTAGAACAGCGGCAGGCAGTCCTTGTCCCCAGATCACTAAAGTCCCATGTGGTTGCTCCACTCTGCATCTCTTTCTTAGGCATCACCTCAGTTGGTTGATTTTGTCTGCAGGGATCAAATGGCTCATTGAGAGCATGCTCGTCTGCATCAGTGCACTTCAACAGCCCTTGTGCCAGACTGAAAAAACACTCAGGGAATTACTTACTGGGGTTGATTAAGGTAACACTCCCTCCAGGCTTGATGAACCACCTGACAGGTTATCTTTTTCCCAGAATGCTTTGGGCTCATATTTGTGACCCCCATGTTGATGTCAGGCGTGGGGACACTAGACACAGAGGTCATAAAACCACTGTCCGCTAAAAACAAGACAAAACATGACACTTGAAGCTGAACGTTCTTTAAGTCTTTGTATCTGGGTAGGGTGGGTGTTACCTGAACAGGGCTGCTCTGGGGATGTGGGGGGTGTGAGGGGGACGCTGCAGTGGTTGGGCTCCCTCATCAGTCCTGGAGCTGAAGGAGCAGGTGGGGGCTGCCCCACTGGGATGTCCCCCTGGGCTATGAGCACAAAGGCTGCAGGGTATGTCATCCTCACACCACCTTCAAACCACAAAAACAAGATTTTACAATCCAATAATCCACTTCAAAACTAAACACTCTATTGTGAGATGTAGCCTTTATACTCCGTCTATAACAAAACATAAACATTTCAAATTACCTATAATATTTATGTATAGTGAAATAATAGTGAAATAAATCACTACGTCCTTTCTTTACATCTTTTGGAATTGCAATAAGAGTACACAATTAAATACCCTTATGACTAAATCATATCACAAAGAATTGTAAAATAGTATGTACAAAGAATATGTTATGAATAATTGTGTCATCCTATAAAGAATAGTAATGACAATATAATATTTGACTTGAGCAGCAACAGCCAGATTTGTAGCTAATCAGGTCAAAATAACTCTATGGTGAAAGCGGATAGTAGACAAGTGCCTCCCTGGAGTGTCACCTGTTACCTCTCAGCTATCTTAGTATTTAACAGTTGTTGTTTTTTTTCTTGTTGTGAAAATAAACCATCTTTACTCACAGAAACTAGCATAATATACTGTATCCTTACCTACAATGACCTCCACTGCCATGTGATCATTGCGATCATAAGCTGGATCTTTCTCCTTGTCACATTCTTTCTTCTGGAGCACCGTGGGGTAGAAGTAGCTCCACTCCTCCATCAGTTTGCGGGCTGCTGGGTCACTCATCTTGAAGGCCTGACCTGTCAAAATGCCTCTCAGACCATATGGACTTAGGATTACTGCAAAGACAAAAGGTAGACACTGAGATAAATGATTTTGAATTTACAGTACATAATATATTTTATATAAATTGGTGTTTCATGGTGTAAAATTTTTTACTTCACCATTTAAACATTTTGCTGTCTGACATTCAATTCATTGTTTTGCTTAATTTGCTTAATTTTAAAAACTACCATTTTATATATTGTCCCTCTGAGCTGTACCCTGTGCCACAGCAAATGTGTTTGTTATATTATCATTCACCACTCAAGTATCTTAACTGTGACTTCTAAGAATTAGAGAGTGAGTGCTGGGAACTCCCTCCGCCGCCTACAACCTTTCCCACCTCCCATTAAAGTGATGCCTTATCAGAAACTACATGACAACAGTATTACCTTGTACTGGTGTACTGCAGGTTTGAGCCAGTCGTATGTGGTGTTCGTTGATGTGGTAGGCAGGCTGATGCTGGGCGATCTCCACGCTTGTGCACACATTACTTTCACCGTGGAGGAAGAAGGAAAAGGAGCAGGACAGGTGTTCACTGGGGACAAAATATAATGAGACAATTATTAACTAAAAGTTGTACCAAATACTTAAGAGACAAAACATTGACATATCATACAAAAGGTGAACAAAGTGCTTTAACACAATATAAAAACATAAGAAAATAATAAACAATGAAATAAAACAAACTGTGTAAAGTGTTACTCATTACTAACTGTTAAAAGCCAGTCTGAATAGATAAGTTTTGAGCCTGGATTTAAAGAGGCCAAAGTTTGTGATGGTGCATATCAGGGGACAGTTTGCACATAGTTTGTAGTTTGACATATAATGAATGTAACATGTTATGTAACAACACATTAATTTCTCTCAATAAAGCATGATGGATAGAAAACCAATCCACTTTCATCACTGTCACATCCTTAGGAGTTATAATTCATTAAGTTTTGAGAGCTTCAGTAATTTTGCTTTTCTCAAATAATTTTTCAGATGTTTTCATAATCTGGCCCCTGAACCACTCAGTGCATTTTTCAGAGACCAGTAGTGGGGTAACAAGAGGCACCTTAAACAAAATCAAAATTTTGTAAATTTCCAAGTTAAACCAAAACTGCACCTACGTGTAAATAGTGTGAGAGTGCACTAATGAAGTGAATGAATGAGTGAGTGTTGAATATGTATAATTACACTAGTGCATTTATATAGATGAGCAATATATTTATGTATTTTGGATTATGTCTTGTATATTAGGGTAGAAAAGCTCTACCAGGGACAGGAATTGAAAATTTGCTCTTATCTGACTGCATTGTCTCTGCCAGATAAATAAATAAACAAGTGGTTAAGATTAGAAGTTAGGGAGTAAATTATGTGTTATCAATAAATGATTAAGGAAAGATCCACTGATAATATTGAAGCCAATATCCATATCCTGATCCAAATAGAAGTGCAACTCTCTTCTCTGTAAAGTGTGCTCAAAGAATGTCTTGGTAAAGCCCCTGCTAATCTCGGCCCACACTCATGGTCTTCATCATGTCCCACGCAGGCTGTTTATTGCAGGTATAAATCCTCATTTGCTTGTGACTGATTGCAATGACTACATGTTTACATATGTGCTGCTCTCTTTATTACAAAGCTCTACAATAGTCCATCATGTTTGTCTTCTTTTTTAATCACCTTGGAGTAACTGTTGGCCCCTTTTGTGCAATTCATACAGCAGTGGGCGGGTTGGACATCATTAACCAGTAAGACAGGCACAATGATGTATTTTTTAATCTATAAAGCTTTTAGTGCTTGGTTTGGAGATATCAGTGACAATAAAGTCAGCAGGAACACTGTAATCTTCCTGTGATTACCCTGCTACCTATGCAATATCTCCTTTGCCCTTAGGGAGCCGGACCCCAATTTCACCAGTAAAGGGTCATCAGATTCAATAAACCCTCATGTCCACAACCATAACACGGACTGCAGTGTGCACAAAGGCCCCTAGATGGCAGTGAGATCAACAATTTATATGCTTCAGTAACATTCCTGGTGCTCCACAGAATAAATAGCCCCAGAACAGCAGGTGGTTTGAACACTGGTCTGCACAACGACTAGAGAGAGAGAGAGAGAGAGAGAGACAGACAGAGAGAGTCTTCAAAACACTTACACATGCATACAGAAGGCAAGGCAAAAAAGCTAAAACAGCACATTCACTGTAAAATACTGGCTGCTTGATACAGTACATGTTATATATGATATACTATATACTCAGTAAGTCAAAATGCCTTCAGTTAGGAATTCCAAATATCCCATTTTAGAGCTCTGATTATTTTGAAAAGATACATCCAAAGCTTATGCTTTCTCACGATTACTGACACCATGACTGAACAACAATAACATTATTTTTCTTTAATTCTTGTTGTCTGTAACATTACTAATCCTCTAATTAGTATGTAAAATCAAACTTTCTGAATGATTAAGTAAAGTTACACAAAAATAACCACCCAGATTAAGCATTTACTTGCATGATTAATATTTTCAGTTCTTACAATGATATTATCAATTAAAGAAATAATCTTGACCTTTGTACCTTCAATGTCACTGACCCTGACTCTGTCCAAACTGCATCATTACAACATATGAACAACTAAATATAGCCACACAGGGCAGCACAGAGTGAACAGCTGCAAGTCAGGTGTAAGGCTCTACTGCCACTTTGTACTCAGGATTTCTTACATGACAGATTTCAAAACTCTCCTGATTTGTTATTAACAGGATCAACAAACAGCAAGTTTTGTTTGTGGATTATCCAATATAACAATCTGAGTTTCTGATTCTGAAGCTTTAAATTTTTTTACTAAAACTAGTGTTGGAATGATGTTTTGATGATAATGCTGCATGTGAGAAGATGCTGGGGAAGGTCAATGTAGTAACTGAGCAATGGGATATTTTTTGTCTGTTTTGTATTTGTTGATGTACGCTTCACTGTTTTTGTTTTGTTTTTAACATGAAAAATGCAAAGTATTTCAATTATATCTGTGAAATCACTCAGTGTTCCAGGCAGGTTCAATTGCAAAAGAAATGAATTATGTCGAATGAACACGTTTTTAAGAATGAATACGTTTTGCCACTCATCTAATTAGCTCCTTTGTTTCTGAAGGGGTTCTGGTAAGTCACTGGTTTATAATATCTGTCTGAAGGGAGGAGCTAACTACACTGAAACTAACACCCCCCTTGTTTACAGTAAGGAGTATGTGTTGTTAGTTAAGCCCATTGAACAACCCTAAGGTGCTAACTGTCACCTGAGTCATATTTTGCATAATTGTTCACACCCCTTATGGATCATATAACTCCTGTTAGCATAATCTGATTACCACTGTTTAAAAATGCTCTTTTAAGCAAGTTTCCAAAATGGTTAAGAAATCAGACAATTTCTGTCAGGTACAAAAAAAAAAAAAAAAACTACATTGAATGACCTGAGTCATATTTTAAATTATTGTTCATGTCCCTAATTGGTTATCAAACTCCTATTAACATACTCAAATTTCAATTATTTAAAAGAAATGCTGTTTTAGTACTAAGCACATTACAGTGAATCTTAAGCAATTCATATTAGGCAATACAAAAAACAATATTGAACAACCCCAATGTGTGAACTGTCATCTGAGTCATATTTTGCATAATTGTTCTTGATTAGCCATTTAACTAATATTGCAGTGATTTAAATTATACAACAACTAATTGTACTTGTAATATTTAACACATTTCCAATCAGTGTTAAGCAATTCATGTTAGGTCCAAAAAGAGCATGGAAGTGTGTATTGATGCGGCGGTGAGATTGATGCTCCTTGTCCTCTCACAAAGGGCATTTTCCTGCACAGTAAGCGGGTGTGAGCTCAGACACACCGGGCCCTGGCTCCACTGGGACATTAGTGCAGCCTCTGAATGTATGTGAGGAGAGCAGCAGACAGGGACGCATAGGGCTGTTGTGTGCGCGCCAATGCTATGAGTACAGGTATTAATAAATGAAGAGGAGTGATGGCTGAGGCTCGCCGGAGGGCTGACAGTACAGGGGAGAGAGAGTGGTTCAAGGGACAGTATGGAAATGAGTAAACAAGCAAAAGAGGAGGAAAAAATAAAGAAGAGAGTTGAGTTTAAAATGGAGTGAGACAGGAGTGAGCGAAAGAAGAGGTGAATAATTTAGAGGAGTACACTGCGCACATATCGATGAGATCAGAGTTTTAATGGATAGATACTGAGCACACTTTTATGGCAAAATCAATCAACAAATGTCAGCGGTGCTCACTTTTACATACCCCTCTCTCAAGTCTTGGTATGGCTCATTTAGATGTCTGTATGTGAGCAAATGTATTTAGGAGGAGGCATGCTACAGAACTCGTATTATTTAATTATATGCAGGACATCATGTGCATGTTTGATTGGCTGGAAAAGAGAGACGGCAGAGGCAATGTGCACCGCAACATGTGTCTTTTCACTCCACATACAAAGCTCCCAGTCAGGCAGCCAGCAGGGGTCTGCCTAATGTCCGACATGCTTCACAAAGCAGACACACAGACGCATCGCATGCACACAGTAACAATGTTATCTTGCACTTGGGCTTGCATCTAGACCAACTGAAAGATAACAGTATATAAACCAGCCTTTAGGTGATAAAGATAAGAAGCTACTTGTGCTGGGAGCTTTTTCTCCACTGTTATGGATACTACAAATTTATGTTTTAACACAGCAGCAGCAGTATTTTTTTTTCTTTATCGTTGTGTTGCCAAAGTCCTCCCACACACTTCTTGCCGTGTCCTCTTGTAAGCTGTTGTGAGCAGCATGTAAACACTTGCGCTCATAGAGTTGCACTCCTCTAGCAAACTGACTTCAGTGTCCTAACCATGAGACACACTGGAGGGAGGTGGAATGGTACAGTATAGGCTCCAGTAGCACACATAAGTTACAGTAATACAGCACTATTAACACTGGAGTTCGGGGGATGCAGTCAGCTTGATGTATTATTCAGCAGCACAAGTAGGTGGCTTTAGTCATTCTCACTATCACAATGTTTGTGCATGGATACTGCTCTGACTATAATACAGATTCACAAAGAAAAACTTTCCAAACAGAAGGACAGGCAAACTGCATTGTATCATGTATTGTTGTATTAATAAAGATAAGAATAAGAACTGATAAGAAATACAAGGAAATATTTTCATTCATTTATTCACCATAATAAGCAGGGTAATTACATACCATGCTATGCTTAAAGAATTTTGAACCTTCTAGATAAAGTGGTAAAATGCAATCAGTGCTTATGACAGTATATTTTGGCATTCTGGACTAAACTTTATATGTAAAGTTACACTCTTCTTCTATAATTTGGTTATATTAATGATTAGGAATGAGACAAGATACATTTTCCACATGACACGACAGAGCATTTTAAAATTTAATTTGGTTGATATTTTTGCTGTCCTTGTAAATTTACTTTTTGGAACGACATCTTCTCAAGATGTGCAACTTATCAAATTTCAGCATTTTTGTATGAGCCAAATGTAA